TTGGCCATCCACCCTGGGTGGTGATTTCTTGCTTTCTGTCTCTCTATCTCTCTGTCTTTCTGGCAAGCGCACGAGCACTATAGCAAAAACCTCTCAAAAAAAAAAGGCAGAAAAAAAATTTTTAAATAATGGAACTTTATTCTCTTTCCAACATTAAGGGCCAAGTTTAATTGTTTTGTAAATGGCTCTTTATTTCCTAGAATTAAATTATAGTGTGCAGACACTGTTCTGGTTTTTCTCACATAGCTCTTACTGTAATACCCACATGATTTGACCTGGAATAGAACCACATTTATGACATTCTGAGGCAATTTATGATTTTTTTAAAACTGTACCAAACCTTTGCTATAAATAACTACTGAAAAAAAGTCCTGTTCTTCTATTGGAAATGATACCTCCTTGGTATTGTATAGTGTAGTCACTGCCTATAATTTCTAGACTCATGCTTTGTAAGTGCTTTCCACTTAGTAGTTTATAGTTAACTTTTTGTTCTCTTTTTGAGTTAGGATTTTAACCCAAGATGCAACCTTTTGCTAAAAATTTAAAGCTGATGTCTTTAGGCATTATTGTCAAAGGCTTAAAAATTATTTTGACCCATGCAAGGTTTTTGTAGAATGCCAGTCCTTGGGGCTCCAGTGCAGATATCTTGTCTGTATAGATTGGGGAATAATAGGACATGCCGATTCTAGAATGAGCTTGTCTGTGACAGGGTATAACTGTATTTGTAAACAGAGATTTTGTTTGTTTGTTTGTTTTAGAATTTTTTATCATTTGCCTTTTTTTTTTTTTTTACCTCTTGGGTGTTTTAAAAATTAAAAGAAAAAAAAGCTTTTAATAACCTTTATTGTATGTGGCAGTTAAGTGATTCTTAATACTTATTGAGTATCCCTTATCTGAAATGCCTAAGGTTGGAAGTGTTTCAGATTTTGTGTTTTGTTTTTGTTTTTTTCCTTCAGATTTTGGAATTCTTGCATATACCTAATGAGTTACCTTAGTGATGATACTCAAGTCTAAACATGAAATTCGTTTATGTTTTATATATTCTTACACACCTAGCCTAAAAATAGTTTTATACAATATTTTTATATTGCAGTGTTTTGACTGTGAGCCATGATAAGAGGTCAGATGTGAAATTTTCCACTTTCAAATTTCAGATCTTGGGAGCATTTCAGATTCTGTATTTCTGGATTAGGGCTACTTGACTTATATTAAAAAATAGAAGACCTGTAGAAAATTTATTGACAATGTATCTGAAGGAAACAACTCAAGAAAAACCCTGTTGATGAGAAATATTGTAGACAGTTGACTTAATGTATTTGGTCATTGGAAAAGTCATGACACATTTTTGCATAGAAAAAAAACATGTCATACCTTTTCTGACAGCAAAATAAAAGCAGAGGATATGTTTAATATGGGATAAAGCAACAACAAATGATAATTGTATTTTGTGGCATCTAGACTGAATTTGGTTTTGAAAGTTGTTTTATAACATTTGGCAGCTTTGAAATACAATAAAATGTTTTTAAAAATCTTTATTTTGCTCTGTAATGTGTTTAGTCAATAGGTATAGCCCAGAAATAATGCCTGAATGACCTCTATTATTTAAGAGCTATTTGATCATTTGACCTTTTTTTTTTTTTAAATCACAAATGAATAGGGTCTGATATTTCATGGATCACCCTGTCTAGAAGGTTAGGCTAATGTTTAGACAGTCAACAAATAATTACTGAGCTAATACCATCTGCTAGTTTCACCAGCTTTAAGTAGCATGAGACATAGCCAAAGTAGGTAAGTTATGTTTCTTACTCTTCAGATTTATTTCCTAGTCCTTAAGTCCTGTGTGTGTGTGGTGTTTTTTGTTTTTTTTTTTTGTTTGTTTTTTTCCTGGTTTTAATTTGCCAGAGGGCATCTGTAGTCACCAGAAAGAGAAGGAAAGTGAGAAATTCTTCCCATCACCTCCCTCGGGGCATGTTAAGCCTTGACTCCCACGTGGCCAGCCATGGTTCAAGTCCCATACCTAGTGGCTTGCTTTCTCACCTTCTCTCTCTATCCCTCTCTCTCTCTCTCTTTCTGGTCAAATGTAAACAAATAAATAAATAGTTAAATAAAAAAACCATTATTTAAAAAAAAAAAAAACGACCAAAAAAAAAAACCCACAGAACTTTTTTTTATATATTTTAATTTGACCAGAGAGAGAAAAAGAGAAAGTGAGAAAGCAAGCCACCAGGTCTGGGACTCGAACCTCAGTTGGCCATGTGGAAGTTCAGCCCCCTTAACCACCATACCACCTGCTGGCCCAAAATTATTTTTTTTTTTAAGAATTATTTAAGTTTATTTATTTAATTTTGAATTTGACCAGAGAAGGACAGAGAGAGAGTGAAAGCAACCACGGTCAGTCATTTAGGAGTTCAGTGCCCTTAACCACCGTGCCACTTACCGGCCCCCAAATTAAATAATTCTTTAAAAAAAGAGTGAGATTTGAGTTTGGTGTTGCCATTTTCTCAAAGTAAAGGGAAATGTTCACATTATTAAATTGTGTTTTTCTTGTCAGTAAATTGTATTAAAACCTCAATCCATCTGCTCACAGAGTGATTTGAGGACAAAGTAAATTAACATAAGTGAATTCATTTTACAAAGATGTAAAATATTATATAAATCCTTATTGTTATTAATATCTTTTGGATAATACATATGTTGATAATTTATACTGAATTAGAGATCATTCATCTTTAGATTTTTTTTAAGAATTATCTTACTTAGCTTTATTTATTCGTGTATTTATTTATGTATTTATTTTAATTTGACGAGAGATGGTTAGTGAGAGCGGGAGAGAGAATAAGAAAGCAAGCTACCAGGTCAAGGACTCGAGCTGTTGTCAGCCATGTGGGAGTCCAGCATGCTTAACCACCACACCACCTGCTGGCCTCTCATCTTTAGATCTTAATCAGAAACCTAATTGTCCAAGAAAATAAATAACTAAGTAGGAAAGCTTATCTTGTTGCTTTCC